GTTTTCAGTTTCCTGTCAGCCACCACCCTATCGTGTATATCACTTCATGAAATCACGGTCTCGCAGCTGCTGCAACTTGCGCCACGAATTCGGTCACCCTCCCCTTCCAAGCCCCTTATCGAATCTTATCAGGTGTTATCACCTTCTGTCACCCACCAAAGATGTTCCCATCCTGCCGTGTATATCACTTCTTGAAATCACGGTCCCGCAGCTGCTGCAACTTGCGCTACGAATTCGGTCACCCTCCCTTCCAAGCCCCTTATCAAATCATATCAGATGCTATCACCTCCTGTCACCCACCAAAGATGTTCCCATCCTTCCGTGTACATCACTTCTTGAAATCACGCTTCCGTAGCTGACGCAACTTGCGCTACGAATTCGGTCACCCTCCTCTTCTAAGGCCCCTTATCGAATCTTATCAGGTGTTATCACCTCCTGTCACCCACCAAAAGTGTTCCCGTCCTGCCGTGTATATCACTTCTTGGAGCTGTCATCCTATCTTTTCTGCGACGCTCGCTATGAATTTCGTGACAGACAGACAGACGCACACACAGACACACACACGGACATAGCCGATTATATATAGTAGGATAGGATGGCTTGACGACCCTGTTTCAGCTTCACAAGAGTTCACAGGTTTCGCCAGAGTGAGACATGTAAACCGAACTGAGGAAGCAATGATAGTACAAAATGCCCCCCCTCGTCAAACTGCGCCTAATATAAGTGCTTACATCATGAAAAGTGACATATCACCCTGAAAACATCATGTTGTATGCGCTGCATCAGAGAACAAAGGCCAACTGCTGTAGGCAGTTTGTTCTTTGTAATTTCCCCCGGATCTCTTGCTGCTAACTTTTCCCCTGGCTCTCGTATGGTTAGTGGAGAGTTGCCTTTGTGAACTGTGAAGCCTTAAATTCTCTCAAATGAGCATGATCTTTTCAGAAATATACTGGGTTGTTGACTGCGCTGGTGAGGTTTCGATTCTCGTTTACAACTGTCGCCCTTATGAGTTAGTTGTGAGGTGAGAGAATGCACTGTTCTTTCTAGATCTTCCGTGAATCTCTCTAGACTTCATGTGAAGCAAGCTGCTGCTATTTCTCAAGAGCGTGATTCAGGGAGTTGTGTTTACTCGCTGACGGCTGTGTTTTTGAGTCAGTTCCTGTGCGACTTATTCTGCCGTCAGCAAATGAAGGTGCTCCTGCAAGGATCAAACTGATTGGCGTTCCAAGGTTATACAAAATTTCTACTCGTTTCTCTTTATATTTGAATACAGTATCTGTTCAGGACGCCGGGTTTACTAACAATTACGGGTTATTGCTGTGAAGTATTCGGTGTGAAAAATGTTTGTAAACTTTTCGGAGCGAAGGGGCCTTTGAAGGTATACTTCAAGGTTTTTTTCAGGGCGAATTTGATGAAAATTATTTTTTTCCATCACAGGTAGAAGTTCTTCCGTCGTTAGCTGTGCTTCAACTCGAGTCGTCTTTACCCCGAGCTCCCATAGAAGAAGATCTGAACGAGCGGAGCGCAGAAATCACTGTATACTCTGGACAGCTGTAGCGATATTTGATTATTTTTTTTCACGAAGCCCGTGATAACCGTTCTTTTGTTTCAGATTCGAGCATTCCCTCACTGTGAGAAACACCAGCTCGACGATTGCAATCCGTAAAGTTCTCCTGCAAGTATGGCAGCCGAAGGTATGGTTTTCTTGAAATGTTAGCGAACGTTCCCCTTGCCTGATAGCGTTTTATATTTGCTATCTTTGTTGTAGGTCTCAGGAGGCCCTTCCATGATTGAACTGTCGAGCCAAACTGATGATGAATCGTTCTCTCTGGCACCACTCGAGGAAAAGGAAATTAAATTTCGAATATTCGGGATCGACCCCACCGCCACAGCCGATGATGAAGGCGCAGAGGAAAGGGTTTGTTTTCAGTTTTGTTCGATGAACTCAAAGTATTAGGTTGCGTGGGAACTTTCGACGTTTAAAATTTTTGAGCTCAAGTTTTCATATTGCACATACAGCTATAAGAACAGATATGTCCCTCACTGTGGTTCAGAATTTCTTGCCAGCATTAGGCAGCTTTTTGACACCGTCTTTCCATTTCAGAGTGCAGGAGGTGCGAAAAGAGGATGCAATGATAAAAAAGTTCAGATTGTTAGAGGTATTCCTTTAATTTAATCTGGTTCTGCAGATCGTCGAGACTGTGCTTCCTCTTGCATCTACATTGGCTGAAACGACTCCTGACAGTGAAGCACACGATTTGATACCATATACTGGTCGTCTGCTCACCTGCCAGTTCCTGTTCCAATATATCGCTGATGTTGTTGGCCCAGACGAAAAGGTAATCTGCTCTGATTCCTCGTTGAGTGTAATCCAGAGTGCATATACGTTTAAAATGCATGAGAAGAGCAAAAAGAGCTTAATAGCGGCCCACAGAACGAACGAATAGTTCCTGTTCCTGAACGAATAGTGGTCCAGAAAGTTCCAGTCTGGTGGAGATGCGTGGGATTGGAATAAGCAAGACGAGAACGGGTCGCGTGTCCAATTTAGTTGAAGCAAGTAGCATTAGTTTCATGCTGCCCCATGCACTAGTCCGGCAGACCGACAGCGCGCCCGCCTGTCGCGTCTATTCCGAAAAAAAGAGTGGCTCACTATAGACCCATACTATGGACGGACACAGGTCCTTGGAATGGGCTTTATTTCATGGCCATTCCCTAGTTTTGTATTTCGAAACCAGCTCATCCTCTGCACTCCGACCCCTTTCCCTACCCAAGGAATAAATATTTTAGGGAACTTCTATGCTTTTTCGTAACTCACTTAATTCCTGCACGAACGATTGCGTGTAGTAATTTTTTGGTCAGATTTTGATGAGCTTGTATATTTATTCTTTACAAGATTTGTATGCCTGTTTTCAGTCGTACGAAAGAAATGCCCGGCTTTCAATTGCTGTATGTGTTGTACCTGCAGTGACAGTCTCAGCCTGGCATGTTCTACCCGGTGACGGTCCATTCACCAGATATATAGTCGTTGATGTGACCAATAGTACAGAGCACGATGCTGAGCTGGTCTACAGTTCTAATCGTCGAATGAACGTACTCCCCAAGGAGACATGTAGGTGAGCGGTGGAAACGTTATTTTTTTATTAATACTCATTTTATGGCTATCTATTCTATTGGTTATGCAGCTTAATAGAATAAAATTTTGTTCGTAGGTCAAATTTGGGCATAACAGGAGGAAGTGAGGGGGTCAGACTACTTTAGCATCCGACTACACTTCCCCAGTTTTCGCATTTACATGTGTCCACCAGAAAACTAGTTACACGCAGACCATCACATGTCCACGCAGAGTTCTCCTGTGCGCATGGCTGTAAACATAATGCATAGCGCATCAGTCGATCACACTTTCCTTTGTGTTTGTAGATAGGGGAAAAATAAGACATCGACTGAGAGATGCTGTCCCTATCGTTGTTGTTAGTGGTTTCGAATACGCCCACATTAATGCTGCATTCATACTTTGCGGGAGCGTCCACCAGCGTCTCGAGGGACTAAGAAACTATAGGTATCCGTTGCGAACGCCAGCGTTTTCGTGGGCACTTTTGAGCGCGAGCAAATCCGACAGCGAAAACAGTGGTGGACGCTGGTGGACGCTGGTGTATACAGATCGATACCTATACTTCTACTAGGGAAGGTCGTCAGGTCGAAGTGGCCATTTGTAATGAGATGTAGCTCACTAGACGTGGTTTTGGACGCTGATCTCGAATCTGCCTTTGAAATTTGCAAAGCGATTCTCTGAAAGGAATTATGATGGCTTGTTAGAATTAAAATGAAGGAAAACGGAGTCGAGCGCGGTTGCCAGCCAGTTCGCATGAATAGCCGGGAAGAACCCTTAAAGACAGCTCCCGCGATAAAAGTGTCAAGGATAATTGCTGATCAATTATGAAACAGTAGCTGATAAGTAATTCCTCAATGAAGGAAAAAAGAAACAAGAGCCCTCAAGAACACCATAAACAAAATCGCGACCTGACAGTCACACCTGCGGTCTCTGTGCAAGCCCTGGCTCACAAATCACTTTGTCACATCTCCCAGTAGTGGATATCATCGAATGCGAAGAAAAGAAAACAAAAAACAACAGAAACATAGAGGAAAAACTCTTGAAAAGAAAAGGAAACATTTAAAAAGCCGGCGTCCGAACTTAGGGTTACGGTAGCGAGCATGTTTAGTGTAGTGAAGTGCGTCGAGCTTTTGCACCACAGAAATTGCATCATTCGTGATTTTTACGCGTTTTACCTTACGAGATGGGTTGCTGTTGACTGTACGTGCTCCCAATGAATAAAATGTGATGAAGGAGAGCAGAATTATTTACGAGCACGAGCGCGGTCAGCAAAAAATACATGCAGTTCCGATTAATGACTGCCGTCCCAACAAGGAACAACTGAGCGGCTCTCCGTCAGAGGGCAGCTAGCTAGTGAGGCGGTCCAACTGAGCAGGCGTTAGAACTAGAACTTTGAGCGGTTCTAGCTCGCTTCTCGCTCGCTGAGGAGTCGCGAGAGTGAGATAGTATCTAGCTTGGGGGCTGAACTACCTGCCCAAGGAAGGACGACCATGTACTACTTGAGCGCGGGGCTGTCTTTAAGCAGCGGCGGCATGGTGTTTGTGAGTAAATGGTCTTGCTTCGCGGGCATGCATGAAGGGTTCGAATTTCTGGAAGGGAACTTCTTTTGCATTTTGTGGGGAATGTCTCTTTTAAGTCTAGAAACACTCAAACGCCAAATGGGTGCCATATTCGTGTTCAGGGAGCAAAACTACCCTTGGAGACAAGTTTCTAGCCAGAAGTGAGGTTTTGACCTAACTATGAAAAGTGCGGTAGCAGTTGATCGAATGATGGTCACCAATAGTTCCAGGGCCAGTCTCTTGTCGATTGCTTGTCTTTGGACGGAATTTGCTTTTAGATACCAGGAAAACTGGAGCAGTAACAACATGAATGCGTAAGAAGTGGCAAGACGAGGCTTTGTGCAGGAGAATGTATCTGCAGCTGAATAGGTGTGAACATCAACTGAACTAACCCATGGATGCTTCACTTTTCGAAGTCAGGTCAAAATGGCAGATTTAGGCCAGAAACCTTTACCTAAGCGCCCCCATAAATACGAATATGGCACTCGCTCAGCGCGAAAACGTCTGCACTGCGCGCCAAGGGCACCTGTACATCCTAAAATTCTCCTAGATCATGATGCACTAAGCGCGCCAGTAAGCGAACGCAAACTGTTTTTCAGGCAAGTCAAGGAGAGCGCTAATGTAGAAGCGACGCCACAACCACTTTTTGCCACGTTTGCGCAAGAAGCAAAAAAGTTAAGCTCAGCAGGGATCCGATCCCATGACCTGTTGCGTGGTAAACGCGGTGGAAAAAGCTCCATAACTCCGTTCAGAGAATCGCTTTGCAAATTTCAAAGGCAGATTCGAGATCAGCGTCCAAAACCACGTCTAGTGAGCTACATCTCATTACAAATGGCCTATTCGACCTGACGACCTTTACCTAGTTAGACCTGGAGGACGTTGGCTACATTGGTGTACTGCCGTAAAATATGAACGCATCCTGGAGCATGTAGTCGGTTACTGAGTAGTTGACTGGCTTGGGAGGATAAAATGCTTACTCGAACATCTGCACGAATGAGTGTGTCACCCAGTAACGCCTTTGAGAACTTCAACGTCTTTGGAGCGCATGGCGCATTTTGAGTATTCGGTCATCGCCGATCGCTTTTCGCCGCCTTTCAATTGATATTATTTCAGAGTTCCTCTTCTGTCTCCTTGCTGTTCCGATGTAGCTGGTCGTGCATTCCACGCAGCAACGCAGAAGGATAGCCATATGATGCAGAAATTGGAAGTATGTTTCCTATCGTTGGACTAGTAGATGTAATAATACGATATATGTGTAATTTCCCTCGTGCATGATGTACAGTTAAGGTCGAAAAACTGCGAGCTACACTAGAACTGCATGTCGCCAAGCATTTGGATATACGATGGGCTATTCCAGCAATGAATGTACGTTTCAAATTTGGCCATCAAGTATAACACAGCTGACGGTGTACGCATTATAGTTGGAAGGATTGGTACCTGTCGGAGCTCTGTTGTCTTCGGTATCCCTGCTAAAGCAACTAGTTCTGCCAGCTATCTCGCTAGGTGTGATTTTCTCACCTTGGGCACTTGATAACCGAGGAGGACTCAATCCACTCACTCTTCCAGATATCTCTGTCAACGGCACTCCTTACTTGAGCGAAGATGATATTTCTGTGGGGATCGGCGAAATTGTGCTCATAAAAGTTGCAGTGATTTCATCACTTGAATGTAATCTTTTGAGACAAGTTTCTAGGATTGCATGACTTTAGTGCATTTTTTAAAGTTCTTTTTCAGACGATTTTGATGGCATAATAACTCTGGAATGTTACCAAGAGATATCAAGCTATTTTGGAACTGTGGATAAAAGCGAAAACCTGCTAGTGATAGGACAGCGGAAAATTCCATTCGTCGTGCCAAGAAGTGTACGTTTTAGCTTCAAATAATTGTAATATGGAGCCCAACCTTATAACTTGCAAAGTTCTTCTCGCAGTAATACTGGTAGGATAAAGACAGAGCCCACAATCGTCAGGCGTGGGCATGAGGGTTCTATTACGGATGTTAGTGTGCTTAGTAGTGGAGAGCAAGCCGAAGACGCTGCAGATGAAACACCTCTATGTCCAAGCATACGGCAAAGGAACACCGGACTTGGAAAAAAACTAGGGAGGAACTCATTAGGAGGGCGGAGACGGCTTATCGTTGCAGAGCCGTGGCGCTCTTGTCGAGCATCTTCATGTCGCGAAAAGGGACGTTCTCTGCGATGGTGGCCTGCGCCACCTTCTGCAAGGATTGGCTTTTCAACGTTTGTTAATCGTAGCGGAGTCTGTCTTTGAAACACATTCTGCGACCATTGTGTAGAGTCTCTCCTCGTACAGGGAGTCAAGCGCGTAAACTCAGAACGTGTCTCGGGGATTCCATAACGTTCAAGGTGGTCTAGTTAACCTCTCATCAGCAAGATTATAACCTTTGACGATTCCACTACTGACTAATTGACCAGTTATCCTTCTGTATT